GCCACTCTATCTCTGATCCTTCTCTTTGTGTACTGTATGACTGCCATATATATAGATTAATCTGTTTTTACTGATGACTCTGTTATGCACATTCCTATAGCCATAAATATGGATCACTGTGTATCAACCCAGAAATCACTCTGTGTGACTAAACAACATATACAGATCATTTTAGTGAAGAATGATATTAAGTGAGTGAACTTGTACTAGAAGCTACAATTATACTTAATAAATGACTTCCATGCCTGGAAAGAAGTATATGTTTGACTTAATGGCTATTATATATCACAGCATAAAGACCTGCATTCCTACATCTTTTCTTCCCTTCCACAAATTCTTACTCATCACATATTTTTCCCACATTGCTGGTGTTGGGCTAAAACTTATGAACTATACAGAAAAAAATGAAAATAATTTATATTCCTAAAGCATATAAGAGAACAATGGAAGAGATGCTCTGTGTGTGTGTGTGTCTATCTGTCTATATGACTATAAAGATAATAGGAAACAGCATTGCTATTTAAGAGGTGCCCTGAAGTTTATATGTAAAATGTTTTATGTAGTTACTGAATGCCTGCAAGTGAAGAGCCTGCAATGGAAGTTAGGAACATAGCTATGAAAAAGACAGATACATTATTTGGTGTTATATGTTTTGCCATCTAGATGGAAGGCAGACACTAAACACATGAACAAATAAATGAAGGAATTATAAATTTTGATAAGTAACATGAAGGAAGCAAGATAATAACTAGAGAGAATAACTCTACTTTGAACATGAACATATGCCCACACAAAGACTTGCATGCAAATGTTCATGGAAACATTATTGGTAATAGCTAAAAGTGGAAGCCACACAAATGCTCATGAACTGGTGTTATGGGTTGGATTTTGTCCCTTAAATAGATATGGTAAAGCCCTAACACCCAGTGCCTTTGAATATGACCTTTTTAGAAATAGAGTCATTGTAGGTGTAATCAGTAAAGGTAAGGTCATGGTAGAGTAAGATGGATCCTAGATCCAATATGCTGGTGTCCTTCTGAGAACACAATGGGAAGACACATACACACAGAGAGAATGTCACGTGATAACAGAGGCAGAGATGGAGTGATGTGGCTATGAGCCAATGAATGCCAAGGATTGCCAGCTACCACCAGAAGGTAGGAAGGATTCTGCTCAGAGTCTCAAAGGGAGCATGACCCTGGTAAAACCTTTATTTATGACTTTTATCATCTAGAACTGTAAGAGGATACATTTCTTTTACTTAGGGCCACGGAGTTTGTAATGCTTTGTTAAGACATCTCTAGGAAACTAATACAATCAGCAAATGGAGAACGAAAATGTGTTCTATTCATACAGTGGAATATTATTCTGCAGTAAAAAGGAACAAACTGCCTGTACATGCTACAACATGGGTAAACCTTGAAAACACTATGCTCAGTGAAAGAAGCCAAGCACAAAAGACTACATATTGCACACTTATTTATGTGAAAGTTCAGGAAAAAGCAAATGTATAGAGACAGAAAGCAGATTAAAGGTTTCCTGGGGCTGAGACTGGGAATGGGGATTAGTTGTAAATGGGCATGAGGGATCTTACTGGAGTGATGGAAATGTTCTAAAACTAGATTGTAGTGATGGTTGCATGACAGCAAATCTGCTAAAAGCCATTGGATTGTACACTTACAATTGGTGAGCTCTTTAGTATGCAAATTATACCTTAAAACCTGTTTTTAAAAAAATTATCAATGGAAAGAGTGAGACAAAGGTAGAAGTTTTGATAATTTTGGTCATTTAAAGACCACTGTGAGCTAGAGAATAGGACCTCCAGAGGAGAGGGAAAGGCAGTAAGCAGGTAAGGGATTCAGGGAGAGCAAATGTTCAGTTTGGGCCTAAACAGGTAAGGTTTTAGGATGTGGAGCTAATAGTTCAGGGATCTGAGACATTGCATCTCTGCATTGCCAATGATATTTTAGTCCTTCCACACAAGGTTGTGTGACATATATTTGCTCCTTGGTGTAATTTTCATGACCGGATTAAATAAACACAATTTTATATGTGATATTTATAGACAGAGAGAGGCTGGCAAAAAACATAACCACTTCTAAGACCTCCTTGCCCCTTGTATTTTAACCTTATTGTCTCATCTCCCTCCAACACATGATACACTGCAATGCAAGCTGTCTTGATTTCTCAGGAAGAGAAAGACCTCTTTCTTTCAAGGCAGTTCTTTTTTTAATTAACACTGCTCTCAGAGTATACAACCATATACACAGTACTAAAAGGTGTTAACTTTCTCACTGCGCTCAAAGTCATACTACTGATATTTATGGGATGATGATTCAACTGTACAGGCTGTTTGTTAGCAAGTTCAGCAGCTGTGTGTGAATGTTGTTGTTAGTATGCACTGAGTCTTTACCAGGCCAACTTTGTGCAGATGCTCAAAGAAAGGCATCAGGGGCAAGAGAACTCAAACAGCAGAGGCTGGCCAAGAAAGGAGGAATGATTTTGTATCTGAACATGTCAAGCATGTGTGTAGTGTATTTTAACCTACTTTTGTATATTATTCATTTTGTGATGAGAGGCCATTGTATATGATTAAGATGAGAAGTCAGGAGCCTGAGTTTCAACACTGACTCGTTTTCTGTGGGACTAAAGACAAACCATTTAGCTCTTGAGATTACAGCCTTGCTTGTAAAAGAAAGGGACAGATTAGAACTGTAATTTTAAGCTATGGAGGGATAAGTGTCCCTTCAAGAATAGGTTGCTCTCCGTTTTCATCTCTCCTTTAGGCTTCCCTTAGTCAAGAGGAAAAAGAGACTGAACCTTAGAAGAAAAGGTTAAGACAGAAAAATGCATGGGGTCAGGTGCAATAACAAATAATTTCATAGGTTGCTAGCCATGCTAGCCATGGATCCTCTCTTTAGAAAAGTGTGCATCCAGCAGGAAAATAATACCAAGATTAAGATTGCCAAACCAAATTGTATCAAAGATCCCTTCCAAATCCATAGTTGTTGTCATTCCAGAAAAGAAGAATGAAAATAACAACAAGAACAATTATGTTCAAGTTTGTGTTTTGACAGCGTACCTCGTAGCAAGCTTAGCTAGATTGTAAGTCATCAGACACAGGGTTGATTCTGGTTTTCAGTTTGAGGATATTATCTTATTGCTTCTCAAACTCTGAAATGGCTGATGAAAGGGGTCACCTCAGCGGGGTGTGGTGGCTCACGCCTATAATCTTAGCACGCTGGGAGGCCAAGGCGGGTGGATCGCCTGAGGTCAAGAATTTAAGAGCAGCCTAGCCAACATGGTGAAACCTTGTCTCTACTAAAAATATAAAAATTAGCCGTGCATGGTGGCATGTGTCTGTAGTCCCAGCTACTTGGGAGGCTAAGGCATGAGAATTGCTTGAACCTGGGAGGGGAGGTTTGAAGTGAGCCAAGATTGTGCCACTGCACTCCAGCCTGGGTGACAGAGCAGGACTCTGTCTCAGAAAAAAAAA